ACCCCCCGCAGGCAGGTGATACCTTTGCAGCTTCCAGAAATTGCTGCGATTCAGGTAGCTGTTACGAAATCTCGACCTTACTTTCCATTTGGTTCTTGTCAGTTAGCTGCCTGTTGATGGACCATTACCCTAAAAGCAAGTCAAAGATGAGAATGAAAAATGAGTGAAAATGAGTTCAGAGGCTCACGCCTGAAGATCATGGGGTTTCATTCATTTCCCTCTTCCTTTTGTCAACAGATCAAGACTGCTTTTGTCACTGGAGCGGACCACCAGTGCCCAGGGGGTCCCGCTAGACACTGCTGTGGACCGGCATCCAGGGAAAGTGGTGCTCTGACGCTACCACCTAGTGCGTTCAAGGCAACCGCAGCTCGGAGCAGCCTACAGAGCAGGGCTGGATTCCCAAGGCTGCAGTCTGTATGGAAACAGGAGGCCATACCTTTCCCCTGTAGAGTCGCTGGTGGGTTCAAACTGGCAACCTTTTGGTTAGCAGCCAAGTGCTTTCACTTAACACTATGTTAAAGCTCCTTTCTGACATGACAGGGCCAAGCAAATCGGGGAACCGGAACTAGGTGTGGGAGGGGTTGAAAACTCACTCACCAAAATAGTTGTTTCTGCAGAAACCTTGGAGGCCCGTTCCCTCTGGCTCTCCCTTCCCCTCCCCCACTCTGCCACCAAAATGTCGAAGATTCTCATCTAAAATTAGTCCTTTCCCGACCGTGTAGCTAGACAATACCCGCAAGACCAAGTCCACTGCCACCGGTCAATCCTTGCCCATAGTGACCCTACATATGAGGCTTCCGACTCTGGGAATCTTCGCAGGGGCAGACAGCCTATCTTTCTCTCCTGGAGCCGCTGGTGGGTGCCTGACACTACCACCGCCATTACACCTTCCAAAGAGGACGATCACAAGTTCACCTGTACATCTGGGGACACTCGTGTCCCAACCAACCACCCCACCCAAACTCCCTGCCATCAAGTCAATGCCGACTCAGAGACCCTCACAGCACTGGGTAGAACCGCCCCTGTGGGTTTCTGAGGCTGTGAGTCTTCACAGGAGCAGAAAGCCCCCTCTTTCTCCTGCAGAGCTGCTGCTGGCTTCAAACTGCTGACCTTGCAGCGAGCAACCCAATGCCTAACCACTACGCCACCAGGGCTCACCTCGCCCTTTTCCCAGAGCCTTTGAAGTACTTTCACCCACAGGAGAGTTGACAGTTATAGGTTCATAACATAGACTGAGTTTTAAGTGTCGGCGACTAGTCCCCACCTGGAAAGTTAGAGATGGCAAGAAAAACTGGGCATTAACAGCCCTGAAATCAAGGCTTTTGATCAGTTCAAATTGGTTCCGTTGTGGCCAAGAAAGCAAAATTAAGACAGGCTTTTTTTTTTTCTTTCAATTTGGAAGAGATGTAGAATAACGATGGTAAACATCATGAGTCATAGCCCTGGGACAGGAGACTCAAACGAAGCACCGTGAGCCCTTTCAGTAGCCTGATGCAGGAGACTGGATTACTGCCAGGACTGTGGAGACCAACTTGCATTCAAAGCATTGTGGTTGGCTGCCACTTTGAGCAGGGCACTGATGCTTCCAACACTGTCAGTCAGGAGGCTTGGTTGCTATGCAACATGAATGCTGCCCTTGTTTTCTGAGAGGGAGATCAAGTTTCTAGCACAGTGTTCACCTATTATTTTTCCCATTCCAATCATCCTTCTGCTTCACCTACATTTGACAAAGTCTGGTCCGCTTCAAGTTCACGTCACAGGTCATGACTGAACGGAGAAGAACCTGGTTGGAAGCTCTACCGAGAACAAATGAGGACTCTGTTACCAGGCTGGAGAACAGGTGAAGAACCGATGCCACGGTTAGGTTATGTCCCATAAAGCCTCCCCCAAACATCAGGAGATCTAAAGGAACTGTGCAGCCGGAGGGAACCTTGGTGGCCTTGTGGTTGTGCAGGGAGTGGTTAACTGCAAGGTCCACAGTTGAAAACCACCAGCCGCTCTGCAGGAGAAAGTCAGGACTCTCCGTCCCCAGAAAGAGCTACAGTCTCGGAAACCCACAGGGACAGTTCTATCCTGTCCTATGGGGTGGAGGGGTGGGGGGGCTGCAAGGAGTCAGCATTGGCTCGATGGCAGGGAGTTTGGTTTGTTTTTTCGGTGCAGCTGGAGCCGAGCCTCCACTCCAGGGGGCACCGGTTCATAGGCAGCCAGTAGGAAGGGCCCCCTGGGGCTGTTCAGGACAGGAGCCCTGTGTTCCTCAGCAGGCCTTCGAGAACAAGAACGCCTTTCTTCAGAATGTGCCTGGTGGTTCTCCGGAGAGACACGCCACAGGGAGCTTCCACAGGGCGCTTCCTGGGCTGGGAGCGGATCAGCCAGGAATGCGAGAGGAACTGGCAGTCTGCAAACAGGACTGACTTGGGGGCCTTTTGTCCACCGAGGCCTGCCCTGGCTTTTAGGAAATAGCTCAAGGTTTGGCGTCAGGAAGTCAGAAAACTGGTTTTGTTACTTACAGGTTGTGTGGCCTTGGCTACGTTCTTTATCCTCTCTAAGTGTCTTGTTCTCTCATTTGCCAAATGAGCTAACTGGTTTTAATACTAAGAGTTATCACACCGAATTAGAAGACTTGCGCCTTTCCGGGTAGAGAGTGGGCCTTTCTGTGTGGGATTGATGTTCCCTGGAAGGGGAAGTAAAAGGAGGCCAAGTTGGTTCCAGTTCACATGCACGGGAGCAAACGAGAGAATTATAACTAGAGGGAGAGGGGGAAGTCCATAGGGAAAATGTGAGTGAAAGGAGAGACAAAGAAGGGACACCGGGGCCGGGGAGCCTTCGGGAATGTGGAGGAAGGAGGAGAGAGGTGTGTGGGTGCACTGTGTAACATGAGCAGTCTGGAGAGAGGGGAGTGGGGGCATTGCACGATTATGCATGGAATTTTCCCTAAGCATTTTTAGAGATCCTTCAGTCAAGGTATTACATTGCTTTTCAATTACTTGTATGCCTGTCAGCCCTTTTAATGTTACATTTTACTGTATTTGAACCCCACCAGGAAACATTTTGGGGTCACACTAACCATTCAATCATTCCAGTGTGAAACAGCCAACTTTACATAGAAATCCAATTTTTCTTTGCTACTCTGGCATTTACCAAACCAAGCTCACCCAATAGGGCATGGTAGAGCTGTCCCTGCAGGTTTCCAAGGCTAGAACCTTTTACAGGACTGAAACGTTTGCTTTTTCTGGATCAGAGCCAAAGAGGTAACCACTACGTCATCAGGGCTGTAGGAGTTTTTTTTTTTTTTTAAAAACATCTGCTTTTGTCATGGCCTAGATGTGTGATTGGGACCAAGCCACAATGATAAGCCACAAGTTCACAATGATGATGATTGATTACGTGAACTTTTTTCAATGTAATGTTTTCTGTGATGTTTCTAGGTTTCTGGGGCCTCTGACACTCCTGGCAAATGTTGAGACAGAATTACAGTTTTCTCGGGTGAATAAGCTAATGTGGTGAAGAAAGCTGATGGTGCCCGGCTATCAAAAGATATAGCCTCTGGGGTCTTAAAGGCTTGAAGGTAAACAAGTGGCCATCTACCACAGAAGCAACAAAGCCCACATGGAAGAAGCACACCAGCTTGTGTGATCATGAGGTGTAGAAGGGATCAGGTATCAGGCATCATCAGAACAAAAAATTATATCATAGTGAATGAGGGGGATAGTGTAGAGTGGAGACCCAAAGCCCATCTCTAGGCCACTGGACATCCCCTTACAGAAGGTTCTGGGGGAGGAGACGAGCCAGTCAGGGTGCAATGTAGCAATGATGAAACATACAACTTTCCTCTAGTTCCTAAATGCTTCCTCACTGCCCCCACCCCCCCACCCACCGCCCCACTATCATGATCCCAATTCTACCTTACAAATCTGGCTAGACCAGAGGATGTACACTGGTACAGATAGGAACTGGAAACACGGGGAATCCAGGGCGGATGAACCCTTCAGGACCAGTGGTGTGAGTGGCGATACTGGGAGGGTAGAGGGAGGGTGGGCTGGAAAAGGGGAACCGATTACAAGGATCTACATGTGACCTCCTCCCTGGGGGACAGACAACAGAAAAGTGGGTGAAGGGAGATGTCGGACAGGGCAAGATATGACAAAATAATAATTTATAAATTATCAAGGGTTTATGAGGGAGGGGGATTTGGGGAGGGAAGGGAAAAAATGAGGAGCTGATGCCAGGGGCTTAGGTGGAGATCAAATGTTTTGAGAATGACGAGGGCAATGAATGTACAAATGTGCTTTACACAATTGATTTGTGTATGGATTGTGATAAGAGTTGTATGAGCCCCTCATAAAACAATTTAAAAAAACACAAAGAATTACAGCTTTCTGTGACAGCTTCCTCATGGACTGTGGTCCTGGGCCTTGTGGTGACCACTCCATGGAAAAGTGTGATCTGAGCATCTTCTAGAAGTGTCTTTTGAGGAAGAAAGACAGGCTTTCTACTCGTGTAAACCGTTACAGTCTGGGGCCCACAGGGGCAGCTCTATCCTGTCCTGCAGGGTTGCGATGAGTCAGCATCTATTCAATAGCACTGAGAAGCAACTTTACAGAATCCAATTATGTCATTGAAAGCTTCCTGACTCCAAAAGAAACCCTACAACAGTCAGCTAAAAACATTTACAGAGGTCTAAATACAGGCATGTACATATGTAAATATATTTATATATGATGACAGAGAAATAGATCTATGTATTTATAGGTTTAGTATTAAGGTAGCAGATGGACATTGTGCCTCTACTCAAGTACTCCCTCAATGCAAGAAGACTTTGTTCTATTAAACTGGCATTCCATGATGCTCACCTTCCCAGCACAATTGCTGAAGACAAATGGGTGCATAAGCAAATGTGGTGAAGAAAGCTGATGGTGCCCAGCTATCAAAAGATATAGCATCTGGGGTCTTAAAGGCCTGAAGATAAACAAGCAGCCATCTAGCTGAGAAGCAACAAAGCCCACATGGAAGAAGCACACCAGCCTATGTGGTCATGAGGTGTCAATAGGATCAGATATCAGGCATCAAAGAACAAAAAGTCATATCATTGTGAATGAGGGGGAGTGTGGAGTGGAGACCCAAAGCCCATCTGTAGGCAACTGGACATCTCCTTACAGAAGGGTCGTGGGGAAAAGACTAGCCAGTCAGGGTGCACCGATGAAACATACAACTTCCTCTAGTTCTTTAATGTTTCCTCCACCCCCCCACTCCCACTATCATGATCCCAATTCTACCTTACAACACTGGTACAGATAAGAGCTGGAAACACAGGGAATCCAGGACAGATAAACCCCTCAGGACCCATAATGAGAGTAGCAATACCAGGAGGGGAAGGGGAAGAGGGGGTAGAAAGGGGAAGCCGATCACAATGATGTACATAAAACCCCCTCCCTGGGGGACGGACAACAGAAAAGTGGGTGAAAGGAGACATCGGCTAATATAAGACATGAAAAAAATAATAATTTATAAACTATCAAGGGTTTGTGAGGGAGGGAGGGTGGGGAAGGGATGGGAAAAAATGAGGATCTGATACCAAGGGCTCAGGTAGAAAGCAAATGTTTTGAGAATGATGATGGCAACAAATGTACAAATGTGCTTGACACAATGTATGTATGGATTGGGATAAGAGTTGTATGAGCCCCCAATAAAATGATTTAAACCAATAAACCAATGTAGTGGAATAAGAAAGGCTGTATATGTAAAATATGTTTGTCATCAACCCACAGGGCCCAGAGGAAGGGTTGGTGAGCCTCTAAGGAAAGGGTGGCAGCATTTCTTTACGAGGCATCAACTGTCTTTTGTACTTACATTTTGCTCATGGTATTTTTGGTATACAGACATCTTTCTGTCTGTCGTGAACTCTCCTTGGATGGTATGGCAGGTCATATATATTTTTAAATCATTTTATCAGGGGCTTGTACAACTCTTATCACAATCCATACATCTATCCATTATGTCCCTGCTCGCCCCTCCCTGGATAATATATAAATTATTATTATTTTGTCATGTCGTACACTGTCCGACGTCTCCCTCCACCCACTTTTCTGTTGTCTGTCTCCCAGAGAGGAGGTTATATGTAGATCTTTGTAATCGGTTCCCCCTTTCTACCCCACCTTTCCTCCACCCTCCCAGTATCGCCACTCTCACCACTGGTCTGGAAGGGATCATCTGCCCTGGATTTCCTGTGTTTCCAATTCCTATCTGTACCAGTGTACATCCTCTAATCTAGCAGATTCGCAAGGTAGAATTGGGATCATGATAGTGGGAGGGGAGAAGGCATTTAAGAACTAGAGGAGAGTTGTATGTTTCATTGGTGCTACCCTGCACCCTGACTGGTTCATCTACTTCCAGAGACCCTTCTGTACGGGGATATCCAGTTGCCTACAGATGAGCTTTGGGTTCCCACTCCACCCTTCCCCTCATACACAATGATACGATTTTGTTCTTTGATGCCTTGTACCTGATCCCATCAATACCTCGTGATCACACAGGCTGGTGTCCTTCTCCTTTGTGGGCTTTGTTGCTTTTGAGCTAGATGGCCGCTTGTTTATCTTCAAGGCTTTAAGACCCCAGAGACTATATCTTTTCATAGCTGGGCACCATCAGCTTTCTTAACCACATTTGTGTATGCACCCAAACAGGTCATATTTTTTTCAAAGATGGCTGTACCAATACACAGCCCAGCCGATCTCATATGCTCTCCTTAGGACCTGACACTAACAGGCTTCATTGTGCAAAGGAGTCTAGGTCCCTAGTCCTTGAAGCTGAATGGATCATAGTAACTGCTTCAACCAATAGGCTGTGACCGACATGATGCTGAGGGCATTTGAATGAGGTCCTGCAAAGCAATATGGCTACTGGCTGTATTTTTTCTCTCTCTTTTGGGACACTGCTTCTCAGAACCCAGCCAGTATGTTATAAGGAAGTCCAGGCCACAAGGAGAGGCTAGTGTGAGGGTCTGGCCAGAGACCCGGCTGGGCTCCCAGACATGAGGGAATAAGCCTTCAGATGAGTCCAGACTCCAGCCTTCAAGTCTTGCAGTTGGAGCTGCAGACATCATGGAACTGATAGGTTGTCCCCGCTGTGCTTGATGAGAACTTCTGACTGCACACAATTCTGGTTGTGCAGACGAGGCATGTGGTTCCAGTACCACTCCCAACACATTCTACAGGGTATAAGAGTGCCACAAACCTGCCCACATTTGAGATGAAGAGAGGGAGTGATGGATGTTTACGCCTCCTCTTGATGGAAAGAGCGAGGTCTCTCTCATGCTGTAGAGTTGCGTGAGACGCTCAGTGACCCTATAGAACAGCACAGAACTAACTGCGCCAAAGTTTTCGAGACTATAAGTCTCGTGGGAGCAGACAGCCTCGCGTTGCTTCCGTGGAGCAGCTGGTAGGTTTCAGGGACCAGCTGTTCCGAGAGCAGCTCAGCATTTAAGCAGCGCCACCAAGGCTCCTGGGAAATACTGTCACGGCCAAGTTTGGAGAATGATGCCTGCTCCGAATGGCATGCAGGGCTTTATGAGCGGATGACAGACTGGGGGGCAGGAGTAGATAGGAAGACTTGTCCTGGGCTACATACTGGGGGAGGAGCCCTGGTGACGCAGTGGTTAAAGGGCTCCTCTGCTCAATAAAAGGCTGGTTTCACTGGAGACGGATGGGGCAGTCTGCTTCCATAAGGATTTACCACCTTGGCAAGTCTAGACAGCAAACGCACTGCCACTGAGTAGATTCCAATCCTCATGAGCCTGCAGGGAGGGCAGTCCTACTCTGTCCTGCAGGGTCACTCCGAGTTGGAATCCACGCACCGCCGTGGGTTTAGTTTGGGGTTTGGTTTTGTAAGTCCTGGGCACTCACATTTAGAGATTGGGAGGAGGAAGCCTGGAGCACAGGCTACTTCCTGCAGCGACTGCCACTTCCTGCTGTCGTTCTTCAGGCACGGGGTCAAGCTAGGTCTGGCATCAAGCCAGAACAAGCCCGCCCAGAGGGTGCCGCCCGAGAGCTCACCTGGGCACAACTGCACCGGGACCCTCAGATAGCCTTGGTCCCCTCTCCTCCACTGGTGCTCAAGCTGCACCCCCACGAGGACGTGGGGGGGGGCGGGGGGGATCCCCATCCACTGGTAGCAAATAGCTGGCGTTGGCTTTGGAGATGTCCTTATACAGCAAACCTCCTGACCGGGATTGATCTCAGGAGTGACTTTTCTTTAACTCAAAGTCTTGTCCTTTGGTTCCAATCCTCGCTTGCTTAATTTGAATATTAAAAGCTATGGCTGAGTGGAGGGACAGAGAGGATCTTATGAAATGGTATCAGTTGATTTCAGTAAAAGAGGGAGGGTGGGGGTCAATCAATCCCATGAAGATTAGCCAGTGCTTAATACCCTGTGTTTCTCCCTCCTCTTCTCTCCCGGGGCCTCTGGGCCAGAGGCGGTGAGTTCCCAGGCTGCCCACCTCCACCTGGGCGATTGGAATGGACGCCACAGCAGTGGGTGTGCTGGTTTTCCCTGTGGAAACTGCATCGTAGCTAGCTTTTCAGCCTTTTGCTTTTTTCTAGCTGGTTTTCCTATATGCGTACAGAATAATGATTTTTTTTTCCAAATCTTATATTCAACTTATTATCTTTAACACCCATCAAAACCTGTTCTGTTTAGGAGCCCAGTCACTCATATTTTAAAAAGCTGGCCTATCCTGGTTTCATTTCTTCAGCCAGGACTGAATTAGAACTGGTTTGAAGCTCTGCCTTTTAGAAATCACACATGCCTCTTCTTCAAAAGGTAATCAATACGTATCCCTTTTCTATCACCTCTAAAGAGAATGCAACGTGACCAAAAGCAGTGCATAGTCTCACCGGGTATCCACTATCTTACCTTCCTAGTTTCGAAAATAGGAGCCCAGGTGGTGTAGGGGTGACGCGTTGGTCTGAGGTCCACATGATCCGCAGTTCAAAGCCACCAGCAGCTCCGCAGGAGAAAGACCGGGCTTTCTGCTCCTGTAAACAGTGACAGTCTCAGAAACCCTCAGGGGTTGCTAGGAGTCAGCATGAATTCCACGGCAGTGAGAATTTCTAATATTCATTACAACGGCTACATGAAGCTCACAGACCAAATTCATGAGTACAGGGTTTATTACAGAAATTACCACATTAATGTGAGCGAGATATGCTCAGAGTAGTTGTTTCCCAGGACAGGTGACAAAGTTTCCAGTCTGCTAATAAATGCCCAAAGGGATACACCACAGTTGTTAGAAGCCTCGACCTTAAGGCTTTCAGCGCCAACTCTGTGGGTCAGCTCCATGAAGTCAGTAAGTGCCCACAGGTTCCCCACTCCAGTAAGCCTCAGCCCAAAGCCACTCGGCTCCACTTCCATGTGGCAGCAAGACCAGCTTCCCCAGTTAAGTGCCCAGAGGCACTCCACTCTGCAAGCCAGTCTCCTGCACACAAGCACTCATCAACTTGCTCCGTGGGTTGGGAACACCATCACTGATCTGTGCTCTGGCTCCTGGTTCTACTGCTGCTCCTCTGATGGTATCGTTGTCGTCTATCCAGGGGGGCCCAGGGGACTCACTTGACTCCAGGCTACTGCTGATAATGGGATCTCTCTTCTTGCTTCTCAGAGGGTTCCCTTTAAGCATAGCAGGATGCCCCTTCAGGGACTCCCGTGCACAGCTACTCACAGACGTATCCTATCAGTATCTTTCCGCATCTTCGTACCAGATCCACGAAGTTTGGAAAGGTCATTTGGTGGGAGCTACACACTTTGGCTGGAAAAGCCACATCACATCATTCCCTGCTCCTGATTCAGTAGCATCTGGATCGAGAGTTAACGTGACTAACTTTTCTCTATGAATAGTTAATTGGTAAGTGATTAAATCGTGGAGAAATTTTTAAACTAAGAGAGTTCAAAGGTTCGAAGGTGCTTTGCTTGTGGAAGGCTGTGGGGGCCTAACCCCATTTTTGAGTCTTAATGTAACTTCAGTCTCCATTTGAGTTCTTTGCCATTAACCATCCACTAGTAATATGGACGTTTTGCTTTCAATGGGTATGTTTGAAAGTAGATTACAACCCCCTCGGTGAAGCTCTGGTAGAGAGCTATGTGCTGGACCACAAGGTCAGTGGTTCAAATTCTTGGGAGAAAGATGAGGTTTTCTGTTCTGGTAAAATTCCATTGTCATGGTAGTGAGTTGTTTGGGGTTTTTTGTTGTTTTGGGGGGTTTTTGGGTTGGGGAGCCCAGGGAGGTGACGACATTTACCTTCAGATGTGCCAGGTCATATCCTTAATGATTTATTTAATAAAAAAATAGCCACTTTTTTCCCCATCAAGTCAAAAGTTAGGGTCCTGGGGGTTATAACTCAGAACTGAATGGTCACAAGTCCTACTTAGACCACCATGTAGCCCAGGGGTTGAAGCCAGACAAGCTTTTGAAATGTATGGCTCTGTATATATCCCCGTGAGGTCCTTGCTCCAATTCTGTCGTCATGTCTGCCACAGTGGTGAAGTGACATGCCACCAGTCATGATTTGATGATGATTTCCCTGGAATTTACATCATCCACAATTAGCCCCATGGCTGTGAATCAGGGGACTCCATTTATCAGCTTCTGAAATACGCACATACGGTTTCCCTCATTCCAACATGGATGTCTTTGTTTTTGTCCCATTTAAGGCTTAATAAAAAAGGATTTCAAAAAGTCCATTTGAAACTCGAGTCAAAGATAATGTGACTTTCAACCCTCAGAAACTTAAAAGCATGATGATAATGAAAAATAAGTTCCTCTCCACGAAGCCCGGCCCTGCCGTACGAGTTAACACGGTCTGTGTGTTTGAATGGAAAAGACAGGGCGCGTGCTATTCCTTTCAAGCGGATTTTGCTCAGGCAAATGCTCCCACCCCACCCCACCCCCCACCCCTCCCCTGCTGCTGCGCACACGTGGTACATTCTGCAATGCTTAACTCCTCAGTTAAAAACAACTCAATAGCAATTTGGACCACTCCAGAGTTCCCTCACTGCTCTGTGGTTTTATGCAATCCATCCATTGTACATGTACATACAAGGACTTGACCTGGAGCAGTAGCAGCAAGACTGTAATTAGAAACACTTCTCAAGGAAATGACGGTGACAGCTGGAGGCTGGAGGCTTTCCTCGTGTGCCCGGAGTGGCATGTATTCATTAAAGGTACTTGGGAGGCACAGCTGCCTCAGCTAGTCATTGTGTTGCTGGGGGCAGGCGTGGGCAGCCCAGGGCCACCCAGAGCCAGAAACCGTGTCCATGGCGACATGCTGCTCCATTTTGGAACTTTTCTTTACATTAAAAAAAAAAAAGCCCCTTTAGTTTTCTTCCTGCCAATGTCAATGGCGTGGACCTTCCAGGTCTAACATTTCCTGGTGTTTCATGAGTCACTGGGTTAAGCGCCCCTGGCTTTACCAGCCAGGCATTAATTACCGCACTTTCCAATTAAGTTATTGTGTAGTCAAAACAAAAAGAAAATGAACCATGATTGCTGCCATTAACGATGATCAACTCTCCCTCTGACTCTAAATAGGAATGACTCAGGTTTGACACGTTGCTCTGTGGGTTGGTTGAAGTCCTGGTGTGGGGCCGGCTCAGTTGCTCACCAAAAGGTAGGAGGTTTGTGTCCACCCAAAGGCGCCTTGGAAGAGAGGCCTGGCAATCTACTTCTGAAAAGACAGTCACTGAAAGCCTATCACCCTGACACACATGTGGTCATAATGAGGCAGATTGGAGTCGAGGGCAGTGGTTCGCAACCTGTGGGTCCTGACCCCTTTGGGTGTCGAACAACCCTTTCACAGGGTCGCCCAATTCATAACAGTAGCAAAATGACAGTGATGAAGGAGCAATGAAAATCATGTTATGGTTGGGGGGTCACCACCACATGAGGAACTGTCTGAAAGGGTCGCGGCATTAGGAAGGTTGGGAACCACTGCTCTAGGGCCTCTGGTGATGAATGATAAGTTCAGAAAGGCTTTTTCTAGGTACAATGACATTGTATCGCATACCTCAGGTCAGTCTGATGTGGGCAGGAGGAGGGTGACAGGAACCAGGGAGGCCCAGGAAGCCACCCTGGCTCTGAAGTTTTCTGGTCATGTGGAGACCAATCCTTGAGTCCTCAGTTATTCTTTCTGTCAGCGGCCTTATGCCCTCATTGCTAAATCAACTATCCCAAATACGTCTCTGGAAATAGAAAAGGAGAAAAGATGGCTTCTAAGAGCTATGGCTATGCCACACCCGTAGGGCCCAAATCACCATATTTCCTGAGTGCGGACAATGTGCCCAAGGCTAAACACACTGCTATAGGCTAAACACATTGGGCTGCTAACCAGGAGGTCAAGACTTTGAGCCCAACAGTGGCTCCGAGGGAGAAAGAGGAGGCTCCTGTTCCCATCGAGATTTACAGCCTCTGAAACCTCACCAGTCGGCCATGTAGTCACACTGTGGTTGCCTGTGTGTGACTGTGATGCTCGACCTGTGCCACGCGCATCTCAAACACCAGCACACACACCTGTGGCGAACTGATGTCAGAAGAGCTTCACAACTCAGAACGGACCTTAAAGAAGGACGAGGCTGTCCACTTCTGCGGGATTCGCCACTGAAAACCTTTTGAATCGCAGTAGAACATTGTCAGACATAGTGCCAGAAGATGAGCCCCTCAGGTCTGAACCAAAGAGCCAAATCCACTGCCGCGGAATTGACTCTTCCTCATAACGACCCTAGAGGCGAGGGTAGAACTGCCCCTGTGGGTTTCTGAGACAGTAACTCATGTTTTGGTTTTTAAATCATTTTGAGATTGGAACTCTATGAGAGTAAAAAGCCTCCTCTTTCTGCTGCAGAGCAGCTGGGACTTCCAAACTGCGGCCCTTGTGGTTGTCAGCTCCAGGCATAACCACTCTGCCACCAGGGCTCCTCCTCCGGTCAGAAGGCAGTCACAACGCACCTGAGAAAGAGCTGCTGCGGCCAAGTGGAACGGACCTTAACAACACAGGTGGGAAAAGTTGTCAGGACCTTCACTGGCTGATGGGATGAGACTGTAAAGGAGAACAGACATCGGTACATGTTCATTTTCAGAATGTGGAGTGCATGAAGTAGGCATCTAAGAAAATCAGAAATCATCAAAAATAAAATGCATAAAGACATATCTTAGGCACTAGTGGCTAACATGGACTGGTATTGGCCATTTTGAGCTTGTATAGTAAACAAGTTTATGCAGTAAGCAAGCGTACTACACCAGGAATGGCAACCCAAGAGGAATGCTGTTATATTCATGGTTAAAAAGAACACCCCAGGGAACCGATTACAAGGATCTACATATAACCTCCTCCCTGGGGGATGGACAACAGAAAAGTGGTTGGTTGAAGGGAGATGTTGGACAGTGTAAGAGATGACAAAATAATAATCATTTATAAATTATCAAGGGATCACGACGGAGGCGGGAACAGGGAGGGAGGGGGAAAATGAGCTGATTCCAAGGGCTCAAGTGAAAGAAAATGTTTTAAGAATGATGATGGCAACAAATGTACAAATGCGCTCGACACAATGGATGGATGGATGGATTGTGATAAGAGTTGTTTGAGCCCCCAATAAAATGATTTTTTTTAAAAAGGGACATCTCAAGATCTACTTCAATAACAATGTTGTCTTTGAGAGGATAATATCTATATGTCTACATGAAACTTCACATAATACGACAAGTATTAAAAAAATACAAGTATTCAAATTTACCACCGACCACTAAAGCTAGAGATGAAACTGAAAAATTCTATCAAATTCTGAAATTGATCAAGCATGCAATCAAGATACATTGGTAATTAATCTCAACTGTTACGCAAAAGTTAGAAACAAAGAGAAGGGAATCGTAGTTGGAAAATATGGTCTTGGTGGCAGAAATAAAGCTGGAGACTGAATGACCGAGGACTTCTTCATTGCAAATACCTCTTTCTAACAAGAATGTGGACTTCTCCAAATGGGAAACACAGAAATGAAACTAACTATATCTGAGGGATCAGATGAGAAAGCAGCTCAAGATCAGCTTCTGGAAGCAAAGATTCGCTATGAATAAGGGCTGACTATGGAACTGAGCATCAATTGCTAAGATGCAACGTCAGGGAAAAGCTAAAGAAAATTAAAACAAGTCCACCGCAATCAAAATAAAACCTTGAGCATATCCCACTTGAATTTAGAGGACATCTCAAGAACACCTGTGAGATACTGAACACGCTGTGGGATGGCACCAAGAATCTCATACATGAAAAAAACCAAAAGCTCCTTCAAAGGACAGGGGGGGATAAGTCCAGAGTGCAGGTCAAAAGAGACTCTGAAACCTGCTCTTGACCTGAAGAAGCTAAAGGAAACAGGAGAAACGATGAGGTGAAAGAGCTGAAGAGGAGATCTCCAGGGGCAGTCTAGAAGGCAAAGTGGAGCCTTCTGCTGAAATATGCAAAGACCTGGCGTGAGAACACCCCAAAGGAAGAGGATGTTCAGCGTATCTCAAAGCTACCTCAAAGGATTGAGGAAAAAAGTCAGGCCTCGGGTTTCCATACGGAAGGATTCTATGGACAAATGTTAAATAATGCAGGAACCATCCAAAGAAGACAGAAGGAATAATCCCCGTACCAAAAAGAACTGATTAATGTTCAACCACTTCCAGATGTCGCATCTGATCAAGAATTGAATCACTGCATGATGAAAAACAAGCTAACGGGAATTGATTGAAAACCACCTGAAGGGTTTCAACAAACTGATGCAGCACTGTAAACACTCTCTAGTCTATGCCAAGAAATTTGGCAGAAAACTATAAACCTAGCCAGAGATCCATATTCATGCTTACTCCAAAAATAGTGACCTCATAAAGGGCAGAAATTATTAGCAACATCATCAACATCTCATGCAAGTGAAACTTTACTGAAGAAACATGTTTAGTAGTTGCAGCAGTTCATCAACAAGGATCATCCAGACATTCAAGACCCAGCAGAGGATGGGGCACATGTGATGCCATTACTCGTGTCAGTTGGACATTTGCTACAAGCAGAGAACACCAGAAAGATGTTTGCTTGTGTTTCATTGACTATGCAAAGGCATTCGACTGTGTGGGTCAGAACAAATTATGGATGATGTTGAAAAGGATGGGAATTTCAGAATACGTAGTGGTGTTCATTTGGAAACTGGAAATAGATCAAGAGACATTCACTCAAAAAAGAACAATGGAATGTCTGTCACATGTTGTAAAATCAGGAAAGGTGTGTGTCAGGGTTTGTGTTAGACAGGGTTCTCTAGAGAGATAAAACCAAATTGCTGGCAATTTAATATATTTATTTATAAAGATAATTAGATATATAACAAGAAATGAACTGCTAAATCATATACAGATAAATATATAATACAAGAAATAAACAGTTAAATTATAAAGCACTACAAATGGCTCAATGCAACTCATGTCCGTGAGAGAGAGTTGTGAGAGACTAGCACTCCTTCAAGTCTAGTCTGCTGCCAGATCTTCCTCTATTTGTAGAGAGAGTTATGCTATATCAGCACAGCAGCCAAGGCAGGTCACCAACCGCCAGTCCCCAGCTCTAGAGATGTCTTAAAGGGACCTCAACTTACAGCGACACAGTCCACAGGCTAGGTGTCCCACAGGCAGTGTAGCCTTTAAATTGAACAGAACAAGCACAGAACAAGCAAGGCAGCTGCACACTGGTCCGATGATCACAGAGCGAGAGACAAGAAAGGCGAGGCTCACCAAGCCATTTATCTCTCTGCCCTTCAGTCAATCCCACCTGTGTTTATCAGCCAGGCTGGCACAACAAACTATCTCAGGGTTGTATCTTTCACTGTACTTATTCAATCCGTGTGCTGAGCAGGTAGTACGAGAAGCTGAACTATATGAAGAAAACAAGGCATCAGGATTGGAGGACGGCTTCAATATGCAGATGGCCCAACCTTGCTTGCTGAGATCTAAGCCCGTGCTGATGAAAATTAAAGACTGCAGCCTGCAGTACAGATTACAACTCAACGTAAAGAAGACCCAAATCCCCACAACTGGATTCATAGATAATGTCAAGATAAATGATGTCACCTATGGACTACATGAAGAATTTACCCGTTTCTCTGTGAAATAAGAAGAAAAGGTGTCAACAATGTTCCTTTGCTGAGATCCACAATCAATGCCCAGGAGAGAGCAATCAGGAGATCAAGTGATGCATCTCCTGGGTGAAGTCACCAGTACCAGAGCTCGTGAAGAGCCAGGATGGCACTTGGCAGACAAAGGTGCCCCTGATCCACGTGATGGTGTCTGCCGTGGCCTTGGATGCAGGTGACAGTTGGACAGTATGGATAAGAACGACGACGGAACAGTTGGTATCTTTGGATTGTGGGGCTGGCAACAAATATTGAAAGGATCCCAGACTGCCAGAAGAATAAATAAATGTGTCTTGGAAGATGTACCACCAGAATGCTTCTTAGAAGGAGGATCGCAAGACTATGCCTCGTGTACTTTTGAGATGTTATTAAGCAAGAGTAGTTCCTGGAGTAGGACATCATGCTTGGTAAAGTAAAGGGGCAGCGAAGATGTGAGATGAATTGACCCGGTGGCTGCAGCCATGGGCTTACGCACAACAATGATGGTAAGAATCATGCAAGACCCAGGAGGGAGTCATTCTGTTGTGCATAGACAGGGTCACTGTAAGCTGGAATCGACTAACAACAACACATGTTCAATGGCACAAACCACAGTGGATTTGGTTTTGCGTTTTGACAATGTACCAGGCAGGGACTGTACCATGTAATCTATACCCCGGCGTTTCGGCACAATTCCACCTAGAGGAGATGACAGTCATAGCCATAGTTCTTAGAGAAACTCGGGTCAATTTGGACTACATTGACCACACCCTGGTAAAAGAGCAGAGCCGGAACTTGATTTCTAGTGTTTCCTTCTGAGTCTAACTCTTAACCACCACGGGGCTTACAGGCCGGCGCCCTCAGTTCCCAGCGGTCTCTGTCCACTGCGTGTCCGTCCCATGGACACCTCCTCCTTGGTAATTCGGCAGCGCACCTTGTGCTCATCCGTGGGGCCCTCGCAGCAGCAGTGAGCAGGTGCTTGCCGCCGGACACCTCGTGAGGGTTGGCCAGTAGTGGTGTGATGAAATGTCACCTATTGATAAAAATGTCCCAAAGCTTCATTCCGTCAGGTGGGATCCCATGACTCCTGGTCTGAGCGTGTGACTGTAGCAGAAGCAGGGCCTCCAGAGGCCACCTAAGAATTCAAGGGTGAACATGACGGGTCCCTGTCCTCAAGAAGTTCTCCATGTCATCTCGGTGGTCGCTGTGGAGGGCACCACGGGCGGCAGTGGAGGGAGAACCAGCGGCGTGTGAGTCGGAAAGCAGCCACTGACCCTCGCCTGTGAGTGTGGAAAGGCTGCATTGAGAAAAGTTGGATTAAACTAAGTGCTAAAGGGTTGCGAAGGAGATGCAGGGAGGCAGACTGGAGATACTGCTTCATGACGACAGTATAAGGAGCCCCTTGGTGGAGCAGGTAATGGGCTCAGAGTGATGATCTACTTCAGAAACCTCAGCCATTGAAAATCCTATGGAGCACAGATCGACTCTAATACCTGTGAGATTTCCATGAGTCAGAATCGACTCAGCAGGAACTAGTTTTGTGAGCGGTCAACGATGAGGTTCACGAGTGGTTTAAAATATGGGATTGGTGTTGTTGATAGGCGCCATCGAGTTGGTTCCAACCTGATGCACAACAGAGTGAAACCTGGCCCCGGTCCCGTGCCATCTCCACCCACGTGCCTATGCCTGAGCCCAGGGTGGCAGCCACGGTGCCAATCCATCCTTCGTGATCTCTTGACAGCTGCGTCCATGAGCACTGATTGTGGATCCAAGCAAGACAACATCCTTGACAACACGAACCTTTTCTCCTTTGATCAGGATGCTACCTATTGGTCCAGTGGTGAGGATTTGGGTTTCTTTATACTGAGTCACAATCCGCACTGAAGGCTACAATCCTCGATCGTCATGGAATGCT